GCTGTCCGGTATAATTATGTAGGAGGCCACTCGTGCTCTGGCATGCATGGACGTGATTCTGCCTCGGGTCGGCAACCACACTGTCAGTTGCCTTGGTTGGGCAGCGTAGTCATTATGCTCGATGAACGAACTGCCAGACTTAATGCCGAACATGTCTTAAGTCTTCGGTGTATTCCATCCACCTACTTTATTGGTGGGTTGTATGGCTGAGCCTGTTTCGTGTTCTGGTAAACACCGTTTCTTTTCCCATTATTAAAGCATTCGTTATGCCTATAACAGTCGCCAAAGAAGCCTACATCGAACTTCGCGGGTCACTGATCTGTATTATAATCGCCTTTGACAGCTATCTAGCTAGGATCGAAACTTTCTTGGCTATTCGGAGGATGTCACAACTGGTGGTATATGTATATATGAATGCAATGTCCCACCAACAAAGGAAAATCGAGTAGTCCTGCAACCTATGAGAAGGACTCACAGGTCGGCCACGACCAGAAATACAAAGATCTAACTGGGTTGGAAGCAGCCAATGAAGGAGGCAGCAACGTCTTCTAGCTATACATTGTCCTTTGGAACCGATTGAGAAATAGGACGAAGAGAATACAATGGGTAAAGTGACATTTCAAGCAGTGAATGCACCGTAGTTTAAAAGAAAAATAACAGACTCACGTCCAAATAGTGGCTGATGCAGACGTAAAGAGCGTCCACAACAATGCACTGCAGGTTGGCGTGGGGTGTTGGAAGCTTGACTACATCTCTTAGCTTTTCGTAGTCGGACAGCAGTTCAGACTTGTCCGCGAGAGACTGCTGTATTTGCGAGACCTTAGTGGCAACGTCCTCCTTCTTAGCGGGTCTGTTGTTTTCGAGATCCAATAACTCAATAAAAAGTCGATTCAGGAAGGCGTGTGCCTCGTCGACAGTCCGTTTGGAAGAGTGAGCAAGATGTTCCGCAGTCATCCAGGCCGCTTTTCCAGCAGATTTCTGATATTAAAAAATATGAGTTCAAACGGAAAAACAGCCGAAAAAAACATAACAAGCCGTACTTACGAGACTGTAGATGCTGGAAAGTACACCGACAAGCTCCAATTTTGTAAAAATGCTTCGGCTTGGAGTCTCGTCCAACTTCACGTCAGGCGATAGACGAGGGACGCAGGCATCGAGGTGTGCGAACATGGATTGAGCATTGAAAATTGTCGGCAGTCCGGCAAACACTTCTTCATCGGGGTTCTCGCTACCCGCAGTCTGATTAAGGACATCAAGTAGCTTGTCCTTCAGAGTGGGAACTAACTTACGAAGCTAAATAGAATGAGTGATTCAAGAAAGACAAATAAACAAACGGTACCTGAGACGTGACGAGGTCGAATTCTTTAAAGAACAGAAAGAGCCGGTCTAGGGCCTCCATCGACTCACCCCAACAGACACAGTCAGACAGTGAGAGCAGAATGTAGAAAGGCCGTAGCAGTAGTTCTGTATATGGTGAGCTCCTAGCGTTACGAAAGCGTAAGCAGCGATTCAGAGCATGTACGCAATATTATTTCAGAAATTGGGTATCAGTAATGTCTCTCTTGGGTTCGCAAGATAAAAAAAGAAAACAGTCGGTTATCTCAGATGCAGTTGTGTGTTGTCAATCTAACAATGCGTCTAGGCACCACTTAAGTGAGCAAAGTTAATGTCACACAAACATAAAGCATTCAATAGGAAGTAAGAACAAAGGTGTATTTGGTAATCTTGTCAGTTAGTGTACACAAAAATGAGACGAGGACCCAGCTGTGATTGATAGAAAGTTCGGCGAGTACTCCCAAACATAAAGTACGTTCGAGGGCCATATTTTGCCTTCTAAATTAACTTGAGGTCGAGTCGTATACAGGTCAAAGGCAGCAATTAGTCGTTAGGTCTAGGAACCGAGAGGGCATGTGGTACAGCCTGACAAACTACGGCAGTTAACAATATCTGGTGCAGTAACGGATTAAAAACTATGTTCGAAAAGATGAACGAGTGTCACAGACTCGGAGAGTGAAACTTGTAGTACTGAGAGAAGCGAATTTACTAATTCACAGGCTGCTACTTAATACATCTAAGCATCAGCTTCAAATGCCATGAAGCAAACATCCTCAGCAAGTGTGGCAATTGCGTGAAAAGGGAACCACTGGAGTACTGCTTAAGCATTTTTAAATAAAACAATTGCCGCAACGACTATACCGACTCCCGTTTGGTACGTGAAGGGATGGCGGAGGGTAACAAGAGTTTAATCTCCAGACCACTACTGTTCATTAGCAATCGATGCTTATTAATTAACCTTTATCTACCGAGCTCTGGACACTATGTATAGCGCAGCTTGAGTCAGTGTGACTCGGGCGGACTTTTCATAGAGCATTTTGGGGTTTATAGCGAAAGGCAAAATATGAGTAGAGTTCGAAGGCGAAGAATTAAATAAACGCAGGAACCGTGAAGAATAAGAACATGAGGGGAGGGCAGAAGAGGCCAGAAGCTGGACGATCCACGCTAGATTTTGAAGTTCGGAGACATTTAGGAGTTTTGTGAGTGCATACTACAAATAGGAATAGAGATACTTTGTGGCGAGATAAATACTGTTCTCACTTAGCAAGATAAACTCTCCATAACTCGGAAAGCGATGATCCTGTAAAAGATGCACAGACCCCCCCCCCTCCTCATCCAAAAGTAGTCATGTCTTCTGGAGAAGACCAGAAAATAAAGCTTTCAATGTTTTACGTATGCGTAGAATAGTTGGATTATTCTACTGTGTCGCTGTAGAAGACATGCGATCGATCGCTCTCAAGGTAACTGTGGAAATGTCCTACGTGAAAATGGCACTATTTGCAGGCATTTTCTGCAAAACCGTTGGTTGAGAAATCAGAAGAAACTGTCTCATTCCATGTCAATGACACACACCACGGGAAACAAAGTACTCGTAACGCGCCCGCACAATTTTACAGACCGGGAAGTCTGTAGTGTTTACTTTATCGTAGTTGTCAATTTAGGCAGCAATTAAACGTCAAAGTGGCAAAGATGCCTAGCTCTCGAGATACAAAATCAACGGGAAGCACGGCTTGTTACTCCAAACGGTCATTACAGATTCGTAGCCGAAAATCTAGCCACGAATCGTGGAAAAAGTAGGACCAGCTGCCATACTGAAAGACCCGGTCCCACGAGACTTTTCAGATTGTGGTGCATTTTAAAAAACGGTCAAGGAGAAAAGCTTCTGTATGGCATTATCCACATTTATTTATTGTAGCCTTTCGTAGAGGGGATATTGATTTGCAGAGTACGATTAAGGACTTGACTAATGATCGCACTCTGAAATAGAATGTACCCATGTAAGACTTAAGAGCTTTAGGACGCTGAATTTAGTATGAACTGCGACGTCCGAAAACTTTGGTTTCTGAAGTCAATAAATACATAATTTTATGAGCACGATCGTTCTCATTTATTCTATTTAGCAAATATTTATATGTTTCCTCTGAAGCAGCAGGCATGATCTGGAATTTAAAACCAAACTTAAGTCTAATGTTGTCTAATGTTCTGCCACTTTATCAAAGCAACTCAGTACGAACAACGCTTTTGACTGGTGCAGATGGATGTTGCGGGCAGCCATTATGCCTAGCCTGGCGTCGTTATCCAAGGTCTCGCTGCCTCAAGATGATTCACCCCCAGCGACGAGCCTTTCTAGACGCGCTGAGCTGCAGTCACTCGACCAAATTCAGCTTGGACAAACCTTCCCCCACACAGTCGAAGCTGCCCATGAGCTACTTGGACACATCTGCACCCATGTGACTGCAACCTAAACCACTGGGACACCACCCCTCGGCGAATGCAGCTCACACCTATTGGAGACCAATTGAGCTTAACCCACGAGTCTAAAAAAGCGGCTCCCACCATTGTTCCAGGAATTCCAGGCATGATTGGTCGCAGTCAACACCAGTCCTGGCCTCGCCAGCGGCCACTGCCACCTGAGTAAGCAACTTTGTGTCTTCAATACAATAGACCCATCAATTTATTTAATGTTGTCTTCTCGTTACAACTTGCGATTTGACCTAATGTTTGTAGTACACTTAGTACACATTATCCCCTCCTAGCCGCCACATGGTGAGGTCGATTAGTGCTTTATCTTCTACAAAGACCTGGTCGGCTGAGGGTATGCACATAAACCGCTGATTTGCGCTAAGAAAGGAATCACAAGACTAGGTTCAGTGAAGAGAGACAGTTATATAATCGGTTGTTGTACTGCATAAGGAGTCGATTTTCAAGAAGCAAGGAACTATTTTAAGTGCAACGGTTAAGGCTCAGATACCGCCCTCATCTAAAAAAATCCAACCAAATAAGCTAAAGAGGGTAAAGTTTTTATCCTGCCTCCACCACGTTACGTAGCATCCAGCAAAAAGGGGTATTTAGTCGCACTTCGAGTCGGGGTATATAAAGCAACGTTGTTCGACGACAACGTTATAAACTTACATAACGGTCATTTCTGGCAAAAGGTCTTCATCTCGAACACAATTACTTATCGACTTTTTAAATCGCAAAACTACCACAGGGATCAGTCTCTGGATTATCCGAAAATCAACACGGATGGACTGGTAGAGCTGATGTCTGTAGCTGTTGGGAATAAATATCGAAATTTGAAGCACGTTTTTTTTATAGAACAAGACTGAGATTTCGACTCTGAAAATCAGGGAACGATTTTGCAAAATTACCCAAATTGTAAACTGAACAACCAATGAGACAGTTCAACCGTTGTCTCCGCCGACGTCAACCGTGTGCCCCATAGCAAGGTGGAGCAGTGACGGTGGCTTGCGAGTGAATTATTTTATAGTGATAGTAGACTTGTGCTGAATTCACCGTACTCTCTCCTCCCCATCTGGACCCCGTGTTAAGACATAGTCAAGAAGGCTGGAGGTGGGGAGGGCGCAGACGGATAGCACGGTCGAGCTCGAACCTTCGTGTTCCACGCCACACCCCCTGGTCCACATGGCAAATAAGTAGGTCTTTTAACCAACAACAGCAATGGGGGGTGGCACGGCGGAAACCGCACCTATGCGCGCCATCACACCCGCCTCGAATCCCACGGAGTGGGAGTGCCATAAAAGCTGTATTAAGAAAAAACTCCGCTCCATACAGCAGCGTCTCAGGATGACTACCGTGCACATCCTCAGCTTGGTGTTGAGATGGAGACCGTGACGGTTCCAGACGGTGTTCTGCAGACGGTCAAAGGCATGAATGACGTTGGAAATCCGGAGGGCTACTTCGTCGTCGACTTTGGTGTTAGGGGAGAGCGTGCTGCCCGGGTATGTGAAGCTGTTCACAATTTGTAGCTGGGCGCCGTTCATGTTGAACTGGGGTACGACGTAGGCAACGTCGGATGGTGGTTGATGTATAAGCACCATTTTCTCCGTGTTGATGACCAAGCCGAATTTGTCGCAGGTGGCGACAAAGAGATCCATGCTCCTTTGCATGTCTCCTTCCGAGGTGGTGTTGAGGGCGCAGTCGTCCGTGGACGTTGGTTGTGGATACACGCGACAGGAAGTGCATCCGCATGTGGTTGAGCAGGTGGACGCCGTCCTGTAGGCGATACGGACCCCGGGGCGCTCATCACGGTAGGCGTCCATCAGCATGGCAGAGAACATAAGACTGAAGAGGACAGGCGTGAGAACGCAGCCATGCCTCATTCCGAAGGTCACTGCGAGTGCCTCTGAGACATCCCCACTGTCCATAACTCGCGCCATCATGCCATCATTGAGCTGACGCACCATCTGAGTGAATCGTTCTGGACAGCCAAATTTCTGCATTATTTTCCACAGTCCATCGCGATTCACCGTGTCGAAGGCTTTCGTCGGATCCACGAAGGTAGAGTACAAGTGGGCCCGCATCTCCTGGCACTTCTCCTGAAGTTGACGAGCGACGAAGATCATGTTCGTGGTCCCCGATGACGGCTGAAGCCACATTTTCTTAGCGGCAGGAGACCCTGTTCCAGATGGTGGTCCAGGCATTTGAGAAGAACGCGAGTGAAGATCTTCCCAGCTATGTTCAACAGGGAAATTCCTCTGTGGTTGTCGCAGATTTGGCGGTTCTCTTTGCGCTCATAGAGGTGGACGATTGTGGCGTCCTTGAAATCCTGCAGGACTTCTTCTCGACGCCACACCTTCTTGAAGAGCGCCGTCAGAAAATCCGTGAGTCGGAGAGCACTAAGCTTGTAGATCTCAGCAGGGATCGCGTCCGATCCGGCGCTTCCCGCTTGAGAACTGCTGCACGGCCCTGATGGTTTCATGGAGAGAAGGCGGAAGATCGGGGACAACTTTGGTCTTCACTTGAGTCAGACGGGCGGTGGCGGCGTCGAAGATGGTGGAGGGACGGTTGAGGACGCCTCTGGAGTGCTTGGCCCATTGCAGTAAGACTTGTGTCTTTTCGGTGAGTAGGGTGCTTCCGTTGGCGCTTAGAAGAGGAGGAGTTACTTTTGTTGGCGGACCATAGACCGTTTTGATGGCGGAGAAGAAATTCTTCCATTCGTTGCGGTCCGCGTATCCTTGGATCGCCTCGGCCTTGCGAACAGTCCAAGCGTCCTGCACCTCCCGCAGCCACTGTTGCACAAAGCGGCGACTACGGTAGAAAGCTGCTTTGTTGTCGTCAGTGGGGCGGTTGACGTAGGCTTTGTGCTGGCGGTTCTTCTCGACGAGCAGATTTCTGATGGCAGCTTCGTTGTTGTTGAGCCAGTCCTGGTTTTTTCGACGTGCGCGACCAACGACAGTCAGGGCCGTCGACTGGACTGTGACCGGCAGTTGGCACCGTCGGCTCTCAACGGGGGCTTTTTCGTCGGCGGTATCGGCGACATCGGTGGCGGCGACAAATACATTAAGTTGCTTCGCCATACTCTCGATGCCGGTACGAACTAAAAACCCAGCCACCAAGTTAGCGCATTTCCGATGCTGAACGAAACAGATGAGGAGGATCGAAGTTATCATTGGGTGTTCTGGTCGATGATATAATTTAGCACACACTGAATGTTATGCCATTTGCCTCTTATTTAAAATACAGCTAAAAGGATGAAGTGAGCAGTTCTGATACATCGGTTTAAGCATTAGAGAGAAAAATGGCTTTTAAGTTAATTTATGGCGATGGTGGCAGTGATTCTTTTAATAGACTTTACCTAGACTTCAGTTTTGCCAATGTATCCCTTTAAGAACTTGCGTGAACCCACATTGACTTAAGTCTTCGAGTCAAAAATCCAAGAGGAACCTTCGGGCCCGACTTCTGAGGCTCACATAAATGACTTCAGAATTGCATTTGAGGGTGCGTCGGAAAAATTGGAGCAGAATATTTTTTCCTTTGCCATTAGCATCCCTCCAGCCATCGAGAGAGCCTTACAGTAGTGGTCGACATGAAAATGGGCTGAGGCCCCTTTGTGTTATTTAAGTGAAAATTTTTGGTGCATCCTGGGTTGTTTAAACTTTAGTGTTTAAAGACCCCAAATTCACAAAACGTGGGATAACAAAGAAGGATATGTATAGTGAATGTCCAAAGACAAGATGTCTAATGACGGGAGACCTTTCTTGATGAGTACTTGGTTTCGTTCACTAATTCAAAATAATTGCTGACCTACTTTGGCAAAAGCAAGTACGCACTACTTAACCTTTGTCAGTTCGATGGAGGTCGTTATTTCCTAGTCCCACCGCCAAGACTGCGAACAGACGAGCTTTAGGTTTAGGTTGGGAAAACTGAGGTGAGTTGGCACAAATGGCCTGCTAATTTTCCTACTCGAACAAAGCTGTCGACTTATCTTGACTTATCTGAAATGGTTAAACGATAAGTTGCTATGTTAACATTCATCGTCATGCCTTCAGAGAATGCACACTGCGAGAAGGACTGGAAACAAGAAAGTATTTTTTTCCTGAACGTGGCGATGGAGCCGTTGAATGTTTCGCCTGCGCTCATTGTAACATTCACGCTCCCCTAAAGCAATCCGTTCATTTTTTATCCTTTGTTTCGTCCCTCCTTTGCACTTCCCTGCTTTTACCTCATTATCATACATGAGGTTAAGAGGCGGACGTTTTCAAGTAGCCGTGCTTCGTTATTGCGTACACAGTCGCGCTAAAGAACTGAAATACTCCTAAACAACTAAAACGCTGCCGCCTGGGCGTAAAAGGTCGACCTGGCTTACTTGCAGACCACTGGTAACTTTGGGATACAGCATCGAATTTGTCGTTCCTTGATAAAGTGCTCCATTATTCGACGAGATCCTAAGTTTACGTGTACACTGTGTTAGTGAGTTCTGTACTGGGCAGAACGCAGTCACACCCACCGGAATGCCCGAGTTCGCGCCTCCAACCTGGTTAGCTTCGCCTCAGCAATGTCTGTCAGTTTGTATCCCTATAAAAATTGCTGTGAATAATTAGCCTAGAAGTCCAAGCGCATGTTTCACTCAGCAAGCCTGACGGAACTTACTTTGATGTTTGACGACCTGACTCGCTTCGGGTGGGCAACGCAAGAACCATATACTTTCTGAACGTCAGGACACCCGTCATCGAGATGGACATGACACGCTATCACACGATGCATTGCGTCACATGGTCTGCGCGCTGCCACCCTGGACCACGTAAGCACCTCTGTGGCGGCAAGCCAAGCCAATCGACCGAGTTTTCCGCTAGTCTGAATTTTAATCTCCAGTTAAACCGACACACCAGCCCGAACACGTCCACGGGATCACCGGAAGCGATGAGAACCACCACAACCCTACAAAATAACGCAGGCTTGTTATGCACTAATCTCACGCGTTCCTATGACGGTACAATGCCAAGACAACCGAGCAGATTCCAGGTGCGGTGACTGCCAAAACAAAACAAACCCTCAACCCTGGTTCTCCATATTTGTCAGTCTGCCTTCAGGACAGGGTGCCTAGTTTCATGCAGATTAAAAAACCGCTGCTGTAACCTGGCTGTCGGCCCTGAGTAGGCAGCCTTCTAGATTACGACTTTCAGACCATCGTAATTTTAACATGAGTTTGCTTGTTTATAGCAAGAAATTGCACATTAGATCAGAAATGGTCTGAGTTCACCCTTCCTTTCTATGAGTCAATCCCGCCGAAAATGAGAGTGGACACAGAAACCGACGTAGCTCAAAGCTGGGTCAATATTGTGCTACATACGGACTCAAATCTCGCAGGGGTGGTAATGGCCGTGAAGGTCACTTTAAGAGGTTGTCACTGATGCCTGATCCTCGATCATGAGGGAAGCCCGTTGGTTGCCGGACTTGCGAGTCGCGATATCTTGCTTGCCTAATAGCCACTCACTTCAGATTTCTTATGATGGAAAGGGCGCTGGTATGCAGCATAGGATTTCTGTGTATCTCTCCCGTTAAACAGCACGCATAAACACTTTGAGCACGAGACCTGGAAACACACGTTCGCCTAACCGGGTTCTTCGATTTCGCACTTATACCGCGCTTAACGACAGCAGCTTGTCAAAAGTGGGTCTTCTTCGGACTTCTGAAGATGGTGACCCCGACACGAACGGGGCTGGGGACAGTTGAAAGACAACACCCTGCAGATCTCCTGTGCCATTAATCCTGCCCCATAATGAAATACGTGACTACCAACGCACTTTCGCCATCCCACGTGGACGTGAACCTTCCTGCATATATCGATTAATATCTAAGTATTCAGCATGCTTGCCCACGCTGTGGAATCCGGACGACAGCAAGACTCCCTACTGACTCAGACTTAACTGGGACGGACACACCTATCCTTCATTACAGCGTAACAAACCACCGACACATGGTGACGAGGAGATCTTCCCCACATCCTGTAAGAGTCAGCCCTTACCGTCGGCCGTAGTAAGCTATCAAGACTAGCGCGCAAACCGAAACATATGCATGTACTGGTCACACCGTTTCACCATTCTATTTAATGTTCGTTCACTTCCAGGTCGTGGGCGATTTGGGGGGATCTGCACAGTAGCATTTGCTCCCGCATGCTTGCTTATCGTGGTCGACTCTTACTGGCTGATGCAGGCTGCTGGCGAACAGCCGTTCCAATTCTTCTGTACAGCATTAATCTCCTCATACGATGCCACCTATCAGCTTCCATTAAACAAAACTAGACTTTCTGATTGTGGGAACCAGAGAATACCAATTATCTTAACCAGTAAAGCCTACATTTCTCTTTCCTCAATCGTTAAGACAGTCAGCAGCGTCGTCATTAGTTTTCACAACGACCAAAAGGAAGCTATGAAAACAATGTTCTACAGGTTGCTGCTCTAGCTGTGATGCGTCATTCTTCAGGATATCTTCTCCGATTTCGTAACACTCAGTACTGTGTGAAGGCCCGGGACTAGGCGATCCTTCCAAACAAGAACATACCTTTTAATACGCGGCCGAATCGACTTTTTCTTGCTTCCATCATTCAAAACAAAGTCAAGGTCTTTAGAAGTGCAGAAACAAGTGTTCGGCAAAAATAATATAATTGAAACCAAAACAGTGAGATTTTACTGCACTCGGGAGTCACTTTAAAACGACGAAGGTAGCGTGAGTGAGAGTGCACAATTCTCTACATAGTAACTTCCAGTTCTGCGCAAATTTCGTATCCATTTCCGATGGACTTGCAGAGCTCGTTCAACTTCTTGCGATCATCTGAAAGGAGTCCGAACAGCACTGAGAGACATGACTCATAGTTGAACAATCAAAATGTCGTGTCGGGAAACAGGGCATGCAGAAGTTGTATTCACCTGCTGACACCTATAATTTTGGTAGAGGGGCGCTCACCGGTCGTTCCCACGGAACTCACTCAATTTAAGGACATGTTTCAGTGGCATCTTTCACCCAATCTTCGTGGTCACTCGATGGAGTTACGAACAACAATGTCCAGGCTGAATCTTCGTTCTGAATTTTTGACGCAGAGGGTAGTGGAGAAATGGAACGATCTCCCTCAGTCAGTCGTGGAGGCTACGTCTCTGCAACTCTTCAAGAAACGCTTGGACGATTATTTGTGTCCCCTGTTTTCCCTCGACAGTCTGAATCTGAACTAATACCCCACAACCCCGCAATGCTACTCAAATGAATCAAGTACTGTTTTAATAGCGAATAGTTTTATTGTTCGTGTACAGTTAATTCTAACGAGCTGACATGTAATCAATAGGGTTTTCAAAGGCTTTGCCTGTTATCCTTACCAAATAAACTGAAATCCAGTTGTGCATTAGAGCTCCCTCTCTCGAGTCCAACCAGCAGCCGCACAGCGGGGCATGATATACAGGCAGAATGCTATTACCGACAAAGACAAGGGAGACTGGAATGGCCATTTCTGGCTTATTAGCCGTCGTCAGCCAGCCATACCCAAGCCCGAAGTGTGGAACACCCGAGCCTCGAACTCGCGACCTGTTGGTTTAGAAGTCCACGCCTCTATCCACCGGGCCACGAGCCCGTTGCCCTGTCGGTTTTCGATCGGGAATATACAATGGTAGGGGGCGCTCACCGATCGTTCATACGGAACTCACTCGTTCCGTTGTGCCTTAAGGGCTCTCTCTCGTGCCCAACCAGCAGCCGCACAGCGGCGCATGATATAGGCAGTATGTTATCACCAACTAAGATAAGGGGGACTGGAACGGCTGACGACGGCCAATAAGCCGGAAATGGTCACTCCCGCCCCCCTCGTCTTTGTCGGCAATGCTATTCTGCCTAGAATCTTATTTGTATTTGCACGTGTCCTGTCAACTAGAAAACGGTTGGAGCGAAAATTAAAATATGGGCGATAGCTTTGGGTGTGTGTTGACAAATTAAGCTGGCGAAAACTGCACGGTAAATCAGATGAACATCGAGGGCAGAGCTCATTTAGCAGGCCGATGTGGATGCGGCCAGATCTGCCTAAGTAACAATAGGACTC